GGCCAGTGATATATGGACAAAGAACCAGTTGTCAAATTGCAGTCCTGAAATGGAGCACAGAGAGACAGATTGAGTCGATGATGCATCGAAGGTAAAGACAGCTCCCAGCCAATTGCAGGGCCATCGGCTCTTCTTAGCCCATTATTTCAATGGCCCCACTATTCGACCATAAGCGCTGTTGGGATGACCCTGAGCATGTTCAAATGGGCTCAACCCCCGGATATCCAAATCTAGGGAGCGAAAGACCCTTTTTAGATCCCGGTGTCCAATTGTGACTTGAACTGTACCTGTCTTACGAAGCCGGCTTCTCTCGTGTCGTGTATTTATTCCTAGTGCCATATCCCTACATTGGGTGTCACTGAAACATGTTGCGTCGGCTCAAATATCCATTCACTCTTTTGAAACGGCGAAAGAGACTCAATTACATTAATGTAAATACGCCCCCAGTCGAAGGATGGCCCATAAAGGCTCAGATTCCTGATCAGTATTCCTTGTCTCCTTGCAAGGCATTGATTGACCTTGATGGGTCCGTTGACTCAAAGGAATTACCGGAGGTGCACGCACAACGACTCAATGCGATTCAGCGCCGGGCTCAACGGCTTGACCACTGGGGTCTGTTTATTGGACTCGTTCCAGTGTGCGGTTTGCTGTGTCTTTTCCACCGTGTCTGATCTTACTGACTGTACCCACAGCATCGGCGATATCGTTAACACTGCCCTTGCGGTGAGGCTACTCTATGGTTGTCGGAGGTTGGGCACCAAGCTCCCTCCATCGCTATATAAAAGGATGGTGGCCAATATAATCATCAGTCTTCTCATTGGTTCTTTTCCTATTTGCGGAACCATTCTTGACCGGTGCTTGGTCAGATGCAACAAACGAAATGCTCTCATCCTTCAATCTTTTTTCAATTCCCAGGGCTGCCAAAGGACGAGAGACTGAAAAATACAATAGCAAATGAAGGGGCGATACAGGATTGGTTAATACGAAGGCCTATCGTTACAGGGCGCATGAAGCATCCTAAGTTGATACGCGGGATAGTCAAGTTCTGGGATTTAGACTGATTTTATGTAAGACCACTAATAACCATGACTACTATAACTTAGTTTCGTAGATAGGTGGCGTTCCGGGTGAATGCTCAACTGATTGGATCGATATCGGCGACTATGTCTCATTGAACGTCAACAGTGCAAAGTGGTGAAACGCTCTCTCAACTTTGTCTTCCGCATATGTTGCATTGATCTCACCGCAATATGCTGTATAGTCTCTGTGACACTAGCACGGTTCTTTTTAGAATGCATTAAGCCCGACTTTTACGAAAAGCAAGGGGGAAAACGGAGATAAAAAAACGAACGATAGACTCTGATGAACACTCAGTTTGACTTTCGGTAATACCCAGGAACGCTAGACGTATCAATGTTTTTGGAAAACCGTTTTATGTTACCTGCGTATTCCAGATGTGATTTCCAAAAACACCCACAGTTGATCAAGGTATAATCCCTTAATCGGGCCTGAACAGCGTTAGCGCGTTATGTCGACCATTTTGAAAACGGTGGTCAAAAAATGAATTTGGAGACTAATACCAAATAAACTGACTTATTGCGAGTACGTCAAATCAAACTTTTGTATTAGTCCCAGAAAGTTGCTGCAAATTTGTGGACGCTGTATATTTATTTATTCAAATACTAGAAGAATGGAAGTGAGGACTCCCGCAGATGGTGTAGTCTCTAGATAGCGTTACCTTCAGATAAGCTTGTTGTGGTATTTCTGGCATTCATCATCACGGAGATCTCTGTCCATAACGGTTTGCGGATTTGAAACCCCAAGCACATTGTAACGTTGACATGACGTGTTTCCCAGATGGTCCTCCGGGCGTTACTTTTACTAATTGATCAAGGCGATTGGGTGATAATTGTGACAACAAAAAAGTGCTAAGAGTTTGCACGTACGATGAATGGGTCGGCCACATAGCTACGTAATAAAGTAGAGTCACGGCCAGCGGATCCTGCTACATACAGCGCATTGACAACCCATGATAGTAGCCCATATTCTGTGATAGCCAGTAGCAAAAGTAATGTATCTAAAGCAGCAGTGTCGACCCTGCTCTGCCGAAAATCACAACATGAATTCTTGTCTACAGTGCTTGCAGTTTTCCCATTTGTTTCCGTCCTATCGTGAACAGACCACAAAAGTTTTCGAATAAGACTTGTTCTTGCATCTGCAGACCCCAATGTGCTGGCAGAGATTCCAATAAGACTAGGCTGACATAGATACTTGTCTGCAATGCAGATGTAGATCTTAGTTGAAGCGAAACTGTGACATAGCGTATGATTTATTGTACGCATACCGGACCGAGCATTTGGGTCCTCAGTGGGTGAGAGCGAGACTTGTCTTTGATTTCTCTGAGCTTTCGTTCCAGGAATGGGTTAGTTGAAGGTATTTGTTGGTTTTCTCTTCTGAGCTTTTCGATACGAGTGCAAAGAAAAGGGGTGCTGTCGCTGGGCATGATTTCTGACCTCTACGCACCTCAAAAGGTCGGCTTCTTATCTTTTGTGGCGTGTACGTGAAAGGTAGACGAACAAAAATCATTAATTGTTGTGTCTTTTTTGGAACTTGGCATCCTCAGCTGCACAAAAAACATGCAACTAAATTTAGCCATGCGAAGGGCTGCGGCGCTGTCGCGCCACTATTCGATGTCCCTGATTTGATAAGTATGCACCACCGGCGAAACTTGCCCTCATTGCCTCATCCTCAAGTTTGATCCAATACCGACAGCAACCTTATCTGGTGCTCTAAAAAAGACCGCAGAAGCGGTTTGTCTGTCTTTTTTTTTCCATCTTTCAAAGCATTTCTGGGCGGATACCTTGGTCAACGAAAAGGGCAGGCATTCAATTTCGGACCATAAGGCTGCCGGAAAGATGGTATAAAGTAGGTGTCAGTACAACTTTCTTGGTTGAAGGAGGACTCTCAATGGCCCCTTCTGTCTTACCATGGGCTATCCTTCCAAGCTGTCAGGTGGACAGCTTGAGCACGTTGATTCAGCTGTATGAGCCCTATACCGATATTGAGCAGTTGAAATGCCAACCAGTCTGCGTAACCATCATTGGCTATGAACAGCCACAGGCATACGGTCCTGGTATTCATACATCATTATATGAGGTTCAAGGTGAAAACACCGTATGCAACTTTTTGCAGCTTTCTGCGGCCTGTAGCCTCAAGCCACAACCACTCTATGCCAAGCAGTCTGTTTCTATAGATGCCGAGCACACTGCTAAAATCTTTCATAGCCTATGCCTGGAGTTTAGTGACGTTATATGTATCAAAGCCCGAACCGTGGACGAGGCTGTTCACAGATTCCTACAGTTTCGAGACTGCACTGATGTTAGAGCCGATAGAAAGCCCCAGTTGATTATTCTCTTTGAAATGATTTCATCACAGACTACAGTAGATGAGACGGGCGTAAAGAAACACCTCGAAGCCAAATTGGCCAAAGATGGGAATGCCTCCCAGTGGACTTCGCAACTATTGCAGCATTTGATTGTGCAATTTGATGACCCGCAAAAAACGAATTTGCCCGAACTTTTGACCCGCATCCAAATGTATACTACCACAATGAAAAAGAGACGCGAAAAAAAGAGCCACATATGGACACTTGGAGAGCTCAACTATCTATTTGAGCAATACATCGTCACCAAAATGCCTTTTGTAGCATACCGTCAAGATCTGCCGAGGCTTAGCAGCCCAAGGCGGGGCGCCACCTGGTATCCAATGGCGTTTCGAAAGCGGATATGGCCCGGAAAAGAGATACAAAAACATAACGGCTTATCACAATGGCTCCAGGCCATGGATCACGATAGCGATTTGAACAGCGTTTTGGCCCCGGTCTTTGCAAAGATGTTTCTGGAGGATGCCGGCCTCCTCCCGCACGGTATGTATTATCCCACCGAAAGAGCCCACACCACACTTATCAGAGTATGCTGGTGCATTTAGATTTCCTCCCCGCAGAGCTCGTTGCAAGCATATATGGGCCATTGTGTAGACAAGCGTGGCACTGTGCCGTTCAGCAGTGTGTCTGGATAACCCACAAAGGACTTAGCAGCTTTTTAGATGATGTAGTCTCAAAAATGGGGCTCCAGATCACGGATCTCTGGCACGATGCGCAATTGGGGCTACAAAAAGTCCGAGGAAAGCCATTTTGCTGCATGTGTCCATGGAGCCTGCAACCCTGGGCCGTTTTCCCTTGCGGTCACAGCTTATGCGAGCGCGACGCCTGGCGTTATTCTGGGATCCAACCCAATGATGCCGGGCACCCGACTTTGGCCCAATTCAAAGCCTGCCCGGCATGCCATGCACCGGTGGACATAAAGTTACGGCTTCGCCCGTTACAGGCCGGTTATCGAGTCGCAACATTTGATGGAGGTGGTGTCTTAGGAATAGTCTCGCTCATTGCTCTTCGAGCTATTACCGCGAGCCTTCCAGAGGCACTGTCCGTACATCACTTTTTCGATCTCATAGTCGGTACAAGTACAGGTACGTTGAGTTGGGCCTTGTGAGTCTTGTGCACATAAACGAGGTTCAACTGACGGTCAGAGGAGCAGGCTCAATCATAAGCGCTGCGCTTGGTCTTATGCAATGGCCGTTGTCGTATTGCATTGAGATGTTTTGCTCCACGGCAAGTGACGTATTTATGAAGAACCGCGGATTAATAGCCCTTGTGCGAAGATTGCTCCGTCTCCACAAGACCGGGGCACGATATGACATGAATGTATTTTGCCACATACTCAGAAATGCCTTTGGAAATGACCTGATGCGACAGAGCACAGTGAGAACGAAACCAGATGTTGTACGTGTAGCCATCACGTCGGCAACCTTCGATTCACAACTATGCTTATTCCGTTCCTACGGAGACGTGGTGCGCGAGGTAGAACACGGAAAATACAAAGCAGAGAGCTTGTTCGATCTTCCCCTGTGGCAAGCGTATGTTTCCCGTTACTCTGATGACCATGGCCTTGGTTTGTTCCCAGATAGGATATGCTGATCTTCTCTGGTTCTTACGTAGCATTGCCACAAGCTGTGCTGCCCCCTTGGTCTTTGAGCCAGTGAACGGACTTCAGGATGGGGCTTTTGCTGCTAATTGCCCTGCTTGGGTGGCAATGATGGAGCTGAATGAGCTTTCTATGCTAGGCAGCCGTCTACTTGATTATTCGGTAAGCTTTGGGACTGGTCGGTTTCTGTGCCCGGACAAAAGCCGTTCGCGGAGATGGATAAAGCATCTCGTTCCAGAATGGGTTTCGAGATTAGGCTGTGGTTTGGGCAGTGTAGTGGACGCCGATTCTATGTATGGAAAATTTTCCAGTGCCCTCAATCGAGCCGAAAGGGATGGTAAACATTATCGCGTGGAGCCGTCGTTGAGAAAACCGCCAATTGCACTGGATGACGCAGCCTTCCTTGCAGATCTCATCACGGAGACAGAACAATACATGGAGTCCCCTCAAGTCCAGCAAAGCATTTCTCACTTACAGCTTGCAATGCTTGCGTCTTGTTTCTATGCTGCTTTGCTGTCACCGCCAACCTTTAACTCCAATGTAGGACAATACTGCGTCCAACTAGCAGTTCTGTCCCGATGGCCCGAAGATGGGGACATATGTCAGTCACTCGGTGAGAAACTAGAACATGCATCTTTTGTTATGGGTACCCTGACGCGCCCGTACACGATCCCTTTGTACTGTACGATTTACGTGAGCTCTCTAGATACGCCTATTGACATAGGTCTCACTGTTGACGGAATAACATCGCACCCTATCAGCGGGGCCCCGTTGTCTCTGATGCAATTGATGTACCTGCAACATCCGCCATTCTGGTCTCACTCTACTGCTCGTAAGCGGGACGGCTCTCATTTGGCCGATAGTTGCAATAAACGTCGCCGTACTACCTAAGATGCCTGCGAGATGGTTCTGGAACTGACTACTTCCCGAATGTGACATTCGCCGCAAAGCCTTTTCCTTTTCTCTGCGAAACTCTGAAAAATATAGCATTGCTGATATAACGATACTCTATGACCGTAGTCATGTTTGCAGTTTGCAGATTTACGGAACTTTGAATTTCCGTCGCTTTATTCAAGCCGTGCTCGTGCCTTGCATTGCCAGATTGGTTCTTGCAGCCACATCTAATCATTCATATGAAAGAACATCGTAAAGAAGAATGAACTGTAACTACCAAGATCGGTATCTGACTATGAGAGACTGAATGCGTTTAGTTTTCTCTGCCGCTGTACGCCTCGACGATTCTATAATTTGTGGCTGCAGCAAACTCTGATTCAATGTTCCAATGTGCTTGCTACCATCGCCATTTGCTCAAGATTTAATCAATATTCTAGACTGATAACTTTGTGTGCGTCATCGGGTAACATTACCAAGGTCAAAATTGTAAGACTCGCGTTTGTCTTGGTAGCCGGAATCCAATCTTTGTGTGTGAGGCAAGCTTTTGTCTGTATCTTGGCATCGGGTTTAGAGCACTCCTATCTCGGTATAGAGCTCGTTGTGAACCGTGACAGGTAGAAGGTAGTATATCAGACTGGGTGATTGCGTAATCCCTAAGTGCGGAGAACGAATAGGAAATAGCATGCAAGTTTCAGCTCTTGCTGTGCTCATTCAATCTGTGCTTCTAGCGCCATTCACTCCATGCAGCTATACGGTGCTTATATATTCTTTTTAGCCTTGGAGGTGCTACTGTAACGAGGCGCTCCGTCAGCCGTTTTATTTGTAGCCGGATCTTCAACAGAGATCCTGATCCCTAGCTTGAGTCTGACATTTGGTCAGATCTGTGTCCTGTTCACAGCAATATTTGAGCAGATACATGTACCTTTCCTGCTAATGCATCGAATTTTCCCTGATATGAGCATGGCTACTTTTTGGAATCTCTCTTTCGCCACTAGGCTACGAGGCATCTCACAATGAGCTAGAAAACTTTATTTAAACCGAGTCCTTAAAGCTGTTTGACACCCTTGAACGCGGCGCGAATCTGAAGGATGTCGGTCTCCACGACACCAACCGTGTCATCACTGCAATATACGGTTCTCTAGGTCTATAGTCAAAGTCAAAATGGCGATCAAAGGCTGCGAATATTCTTTTAATCTTTCATTCTTTCATTCTTCTTTTCGTCACTACTTATGTTCTTCCAGGGATTTCAGGGACGAAGGCAGAAGAGGATTTGAATATCGTATGTCAATGACTGAATGGATGCGCCTGATGACACTGGTTGAGTATCAGAATAGAAACATGGTTTGAAATAATAAACAGGCATCGTAAGATTGGTATGCAAGTCATAATTAGAATATTTCGTCGGGCGGCTCCACGTTTGCTGTAGCAGAAGTCCCAAATCTTTGAGCGACATCAAGGAATAAACTAATGAGCAATTTTTGACTTTAAAGCAAGTCTCGAGTATTTTGCACAGTCCAACCACCTTGGTTCACCCACGCTCATCAAGCAATTCTGTGGACTTTCCTCGGCTAATGCGCGGGATCTAGTATATGCAGGTTGCATCAGCTAGTTTTATTCCTGAGGCCGATTATCAAGATAATCAAATGAAAAGCGGAAACGAACCATTCTATGGGGGCAACTCGGCTATCAGGTCATATGGAGCGTAAAGACGTGAGGGCCTCGATGAGATGCAGACTGGCCGAGAGCAAAGCCCATCTCGGGGAAACCTGGATGGCTCTATCGCATGCCATCGGCAGTAGGCGCGTGACCGTCGCTTCCCGCAATACACACATCGTAGGCTGGTTGACCAGTGGCCCGGGAAGCTGGAGTATGGGGGAGGTTGTAAGGCTTCTTCTATCACAAGGTCGCCCCAGTGATCCCTATCAATGCCAAGCTGTCTTGATACATGATGTGCGCAACTGAAAAGAAGTAAGAGTCTGGAATCGCAGAGTCATACCAGAAAGGCACACCTATCTGAAAGCCGTACCCAGATCCCGTTGATGAAGCGCATCGGGCTTACAGCTTTAACTCGATAGATTTCCGCAGAAATTAGATTTGTCTACCATCTATTGAGCTATATATGCAGTACAATACCTGGCATTGACAATCTCGGACTGCATTCTAACGAATCTTTGTTCACGACATCTGAAAGATCAGCGAAATTGACGCAAGTGTTGTCGTTGTCAAAGACTTCAAAGGTCCCCCTGACTGAGACAGTTATGCCATGCCTTCCGCTCTGTTGGCGTGACTGTAGTTTTTGCGTAGCGGATCCGATGCATCTCGCACCACACTGGCACATTACGTCTCGGATCTAAATTTGGCACTGATTAAACAATTATGTGTTATTCTTTTGTAGCCCATGGACATTGTTTGGAAGCTTTTCAAGGACCTTCCACCTGACTATACATTACCTCCAGTCCCTACACTGAATGCCCTCTCGAACGCCCTCTTTCCTTGCTATCCCATCTATTGGCTCAGCAGAGACCACGGTATGACCGAGCTATCCAAGAAAAGCGCGAAGGAGTTTGCAACATTGTAAGTAAGCCATGTCCACTGCAAGATGGCATGCCTGATAGAATTCTGCACTAGCATTCTCCCACTCTACTGTGGCCCGCACGTAAAAATTCGGATCGACTTCAGCGATCACGAGTATACAGTCTCTAAAGGTCTTCTCTGCGCCGAGTCGTCGTACTTCTCCGCAATACTTGAGAAGCAGGATCCCGGATCTCAGCAGCAGACAGCGACTCTGAGCAAAGTGGAAGGCATTGTCTCCAGACAAAGCGTCGAAGCCTTGATCCAATGGTTGTACCTTCGCATGGTGATATTTGATGTAGAAGACCCCGGAGATCAGATATCAGCCGCCATAGAGCTGGTGAGACTCGCCGACTTGTGCAGCGTGAGCGGACTGGAGCCTCAAATGGCTCGTTTTATCAAGAAGATTCTTGTTGCCCATCCAAACCCTCAATCCGAAGGGTTTTGGAGACACGTGGACACCAACACTTACTGCCTCACCCCACAGCACATTGCAGCGGCATCACATCTACCCCAGGGGCACCTGGTCCGTCGCATTTTGGCAGCGGCTTCCGTTGAAGGATATCTTCGGGATCAAAACCACAAATTTGCCGAGGAGACCCAAGAATATCCTTCCTTTGGAGCCGACCTCCTCTGGGAGGTAGGCATGGCCTTGAATGAGATCAAGCCCACCAGAAAGGTCGCATTTAAGGACCCCATCAGTGGACATAGAGCGGAGATCAAGACGGGTCGGGAGATTTAAGAAATTCGATTCAGTCATCAAACTGCACTGCAGTTTGGCAATATCTAAAGATGTCGATTTGCTCGTAGACTGTCGGGAAAGGTCAATAGAAATCCCCTCAGATAAATAATCAGAGACAAGGTCACCGCCGCCGTAGATTAGGTGGCCCGTTTATATATATCAGTGGCTTTTCTGGTTCACCGCACCCACTCATCGCGTGCCTTGGAAGGAAAATTGGAGCTCAGGCTCATCCCTGGCGCGTATAAACGCAGGGCTTCACCGAGAGAATGGATGCTGTACTTGTGATGACCGACAAGCAACTGTCCATATTCTGTCGAAGCGCGTAACAGTCTCAGGCCGGTGAGATATTTCCACCCACCACGCCTATTTTATCATGTTTCAAAAATAGCTCAATCGGATTTGAATTATTCTCCCTTTCAAGCCCCCTTCTCTATGTTCCAGGAAATAACTCAATGCTGAGAGAATTACTAGACCAGACTTCCGTGTGATTTACTTGCTAGTCGTGAGCACCTGCAGATCTTGAATATTCCGGTGCCTGGGACCTCAATGAACGTGTGAGACTGAGATGCCACAAGGGGTAGTAACGAGCCCTGAAGACAAATCAGAGTATCGAGTCCCTCCAGTCCATGGGAACATTGACCGCAGGCGTTCACCTTTGATGTCGGCCCGGTACCAGCAACCGCCGCAGTCTTCTGATCCGCATATGTCTGACCCCCATGTCAGTCATCTAGAGTTGCTGAAAGACTCTTTGAGTGTATCCCAAACCGCATCACGGACAGGTAAAGATAGGTGCCTGGCGCGTCCGACGGGATCCCAATTCCTTAATCAGGAGGAGCTATATGAGAGTATTGAGCTTCTTTTGGGGCTCGACATCCAACAGAATACAGGGCATAGCCAAGGCTTCGAGTCTTCATCGGGAGGCATGCCTTCATATCGCCCGTGTAGTGAGCCAGGTAGGCCCGGGCCAACTCTTGGCCTGAACGAAATTAGACATACGTCAGTCGGACCCCATTTTGATGGAAAATTAGTGACTACATTACAAGACGCTGCGTCTTTAGGTGACCTTTTTGATTTAGCTACGCGCAATGGGGTTCAGCTGGAGAATATCTCCTCAGGCCTCAGCTTGATCCGATCTGTCCTACAGCGGTCACATCCGGAGCAATTCGAATTGCGAGAAATGGGCTTGCCTGTGACACCAGCAGGAAGGGTACTTCGGCCTGGATCACAGGGCTATTTCCTACATCTAGTGTCACCTTTCCGAGAAAGGCCTCTTTGTTTGAGCGCTCAAGACTATTGTGATCACTACGAATACGAGATCCTCACGTGCGCATATATAACGGGAGCTATTCTGACACAATGTGAAGCAGCGGCACTTTCATTAGATGAGACGCGGTGGTCAGTGTTAAAGTTGGCCCTAGACAACTACCAAGACCCCCGATGGAACGTCATGCATCGAGCCTTCTGGCGAGTCTGGACCTTTTGCAGACTTTTCGGCTCTGGCAAAGGACGCGAGGAAGATTGGCAAGGCCAACAAGCCTGGCTTGAAGGACATACCATCCATAGCAACAACGGATTTGGCACTAACACTCAGCCTGGGAGCCTTCAAAGCGAGGTTCTCGACAATCCTCCGGAGTTCTTTGCCACTGGTAACCCAGGAGGGCTCACGTCGGAGGAATTAAAGGAT